TTTATTTATTTATTTATTTATATCTTTTTGAGACAGAGTCTCGCTGTGCGGTTCAGTTTGTAGCCGAGGCTGGTCTGGAACTCATGAGGATCCTCCTGCCTCAGCCTCCCGGATGCTGGGGTTACAGGCGTGCGCCACCACGCCCGGCTAGGCTCCTTTTTCTTTTTCTTTTTCTTTTTCTTTTTTTGGTTTTTTTCCAGTACCGGGAATTGAACTCATGACCTTGCGCTTGCCAGGCAGGCGCTGTGCCGCTGAGCTGAATCCCCAGCCCCAGGCTAGGCTCCCTTTTAGCCTGTTCTCGGTCCTCTCTTTCCCAAAACCCGCCCTCCTTCCCGTCTCCCCGCCGGAGACACCCGCGGAGCGCACCCGGCCCCCACCTGTTTGGTCCCCTCGCCCCGAGGAAGCCCCGCCCGCCCCGCCTGGGGCTGTGGGCACTTGCACGTTCTCGTAGGTGAGCTCCCCGTCCGCGTCGCCGTCCTCGTAGGCCCCCGCCTCTGCGGAGGAAAGGAACCCCGGGCGGGAGTCAGGAACCGGCCACCACGGGTTAGGGGTGCAGGGTCAAGGAAGGCGCCTCCCTCTTACCCGGCCCTAGCCGGCCCGAGAGGCTTTTCTGCAGCGGCGCCTTCACAAAGCGCAGGTCCGCGTAGGTGACGGCCTCAGCCATGGCCCTCAGCACCTGCGCCCCCGCCGGCCCCCTGGCATCCCCGGCCCAGCCTCCTTGGCCGCGCGGCCGCTCGCCGTAGGCTCAGTGTGCCGTCTGTGACTACGCTTCGCCTCTGACTTCCCGACGCAAAAGAGGAAGGTGCGAGCGCGTCGCCGACAGATGGGCTCAGCCAACCGCAAGGCATCCCTGGGTCGGAGCCCGAGGGGCAGGGCCGGGCGCGGAGGTCCAGGGCCCAGCGCGGGCTGCGCAAGTGCGTCCCCTCGCTTCAGGTGTCCCAGGCCCCGTCTGGCCCCATCCTGCTGAGGTGCACCCGTGTGTCCGTCCAGCTCTCCGCCCTCCGCACCCTCCCTCCCCTCCTGCCTGCCAGCTCATCCCTGCCCAGCGGGCCGGACCGTCTCCCCGCCAGCCCTCTAGGGTGGGACTGGCCGTGGCGCCGCTTCATTTGGGGGTTTCCGGTAGGTCCGTGGACTCCCAGAAAGGGGCTCCTTACTTGGGCGCTTCAGTGAGGCGCATGCCCCCCATCGGGTTGGGCTTTCGGGCGATCCAGCCGCTCCCCCGCTGGCCTCACTGAAGTGCCACACGGGGGTGTCCTCGCTCAGACTCCTTGCTGATTTCCCAGTAAACAGCCCGGACTCTCGCCTCAGGCTTTGCCCCACGCCTTCCACTTTGCTGTCCAGCTGGTCATACCTACGGCCGGCCAAGCCCCTCTTTCTTCCACATGGAGGCTGCCAGCCTGTGGTGCCCTCTGTCTCCACATCCAAGCTGCATCCAGGGAGGAGAGCCCAGGAGGCAGAGCCTCTGAAAGGGGCTAGAGCGCCTGGGGGCCTGCGGCAGTCCCGACCCTGTGCACCCTGCAGGGAACAAGGGGGCCATGAGCTGCACAGTGACCAAGAAGTGTAGCAGCCTCCTAGTCAGAGGTGGTGGTGCACACCTGTAATCCAGCTGCTCAGAAGGCTGAGGCAGGAGAATTACCAGTTTAAAGCCAGTGTGAGGAACATAGCAAGGCACTATCTTTAAAAAATAAATAAATAAAAATAAAAAGGGCTGGGAATTTATAGCTCAGGGATAAAGAGATTACCTAGCATGAACAAGATCCTGGATGCAATCTCTAGCACCACTACCACCACCACCAAAAAAAAGTTCTTTGCAAAGGTGCCGGGAGCTGGGGATGCAGCTCTACCGTAGAGCATGAGCGCCATACCTTAGGTTCAATCCCCAGCACCAGAAAAATAAGCCCCAACGTTGTCCCTTTACACCCAGGCCCAAATAAAAGGAACATTTGTTGGGGAGACCTCAGGGGCCGAGAAGCCATTGTCGTAGGTGATGAGGGCCTGGCTGGTGAAGAGAGGGGATCCAGGTAGGGGAGATGGGGCTGCTACACAGCCAGGCCCAAGGGTGTACCCCAGTGTTCTGCTACTGGGTTGAGACAGTTCCAGGAACCTCAAAAGGGCCTGCAGCTGCAGGGGGTGGGGGAGGAGCTGAGCACAGACAAAGTATGGAGGTGTGAAGAAGCCATGCCTTTATGAGCCACATCCGCCCACTCAGAAACCCCTCTAGCAGCTGTGGGCAGGAAAAGGGAAGGGGACAGATGTCCTCAGCACACCAACAGTTCATGTGTCTGGTGGCGTGCGGCAGGCACCATGACGGGCTGCAGAGCTCTGCTGAGCAGCATGATCCAGCCTGCCCCGGGGAAGTGACCGCTGGGGCAGACAGCGCCTGTCACCTGAGGAATGTCTGAAGAGGGCAGGGGTATGCGTTTGTGTGTGGTCTGGAGGGGGCACCCCACAGGGAGGATGAGACCTGCAGGCCCCCGTGGGAGCTGTCCCTTTTTGCCACGGCAGGGAACCGTGGGCCATTTTCAGAAAAGTCACCATAGGTCACAGCAACAGATTCTATAGGCGTTTCCTTTCCAAGGCACTGTTTCCTAAGGTGCCCCGCAGCTGTTAACCGCCTCCACTTGATTAAACTTTCCAACAGCCCAGGCCCCTCCCCTGAGCACCCTGGGAGGGTCCCCACATACGGTGGTGGTGTGTGCTGGTGACTCCCCAGGGACCTCAGGGCAGCTGGTGGCAGGGCTGAGTGGGGACAGTCGGGCACTGCGGCTGAGGTATACAGGGGTGGGTATGGGCAGTGGGAGTAAATCGCAGGGAGATTTTCGGAGCTTCCATAAACTGTAAGCAGTGACCCAGGTTTTAGAACTAATCCACAGGTGCACATGCCCTGAATGCCAGGTGAAGTGCCAGAGCTTCCCATGTGCACGCGGAAGCAGGACCAGTGGGCACGAGGCCAGCGTGACCCTGGAGAGGCTCGAGAAGGAGGCACTGGCCGCAGTGGGCTGAGCCAAGCCGGGCACCCCCTGCGCCCCGGGTGTTTCCACGGACTTGGTCTGCGTGTCTCTCCAGCCCCCTGCTGATAGCAGCCCCCTCCCCACGGCCTTCTGCCTGCCGCCCACCTCGCAGGCCGCCTGTAGCCCTCTTGTACGAATGGGGGTCCCTGCCCTCCCTCCCCAGCCGTGGCAGTAGGTCTTTGCAGTGTTGACATCCACGTTGCACCCCAAGGCTGGACATCAGAAAGGACACCTGTGGCTCCGAGCTGCCCCAGAGCTGCCCAAAAGCCTGCAAGGAGCATGCAGGCTTTTATGAGATGCAGGGCCGGTGCCGACATTTCCATTTTTCCAGGTCTACAGTCACGTCCAAGACCCGAGAGGACAAACATCAAAGCCTGCTTCTTGCCCTCTCCTGACTTCTTCCCTGCTCTTCGTAGGAAATGGGTCATTCGAGTGGACAAGACGGGGTCCCAGCTGTGAGGGCACCGGAAGAACTGGCTTTGTGGGAAGAGACTCCTCTGTAATAACTTCAGTGAAGTTCAGCCGACATCAGGGTCTCCCTGGAATCTGAAAGTCCGATTATACCTGTCATCATTGCTGTAGCTCTCTGGCCTCTGGGAAGCCCCTGACGGACAGAGTGTGGACAGGAGGATGACCTTCCCCAGATGTCCACACCCTAGCCCCTGGAACCTGAACTGCGTAGTGAGACCCTGTCTCAAAAAGACAGAAAAAAAAAAAGTGCAGTTGCTAAAGGCAAGAGATATAAACTTCAGCAAAGACCTCCTTAATGTGTTTTGGAAGCCAGGTGTGGTGGTGCATGCCTGTAATCCCAGCACTCAGGAGGCCAAGGCAGGACTACAAGTTTGAGGCCAGCTTGGGCTACATAGTAAACTCAAGGCCAGCCTGAACTACACCATAAGACCTTGTCTCAAAAAAAAAAAAAGAAAAATTGTGTCTTGAGGGCCTGGATGTGGCACAGCAGCACAGCACCTGCCTGGCAAGCATGAGGCCCTGAGTTCAATTCTTGGTACCAAAAAAAGAAAAAAGACCAGAAAAGAGTGTCTTAGTCTGGGGATGTAGATCAGTGGTATGACACTTGGCTAACATGTGCGAGGTGCTCGGTTTAATCTCCAGTCCTGCCCCCCACAAATCCATCGGAGCTTCAGAGTCAAGAGGGAGAGCTGTGAGCTAGCTGATAGAATCATGAAAGGAATTTATGGTTCTTTTCTCTGTGTGTGTGTGTGTGTGTGTGTGTGTGTGTGTGTGTATTGCTGGGAATTAAACCCAGTAACCTTTCACTGAGCTACACCCTCAGCCCTTTTTTTAAAGACAGGGTCTCACTAAGACACTAAGTTGCCCAGGCTGGACTTGAGTTTGAGCTCTTCCTGCTTCAGCCGCCCAGGCTGGACTTGAGTTTGGGCTCTTCCTGCCTCAGCTTCCCAGACTGCTGCGATTACTGATACAAACAACCATGCCCAGCTACTTTCAACTCTTTGATTCTTGAGACCAAAGAAAGCTACCGATTGATCTCCAGCGACTGGCCCCAGGCCTCTCCCTGGCCCTGCCCTGTCTTGAATAGTGACACGGAAGGCATCTTCATGTTGACGGCACAAAGCTGAAAAGGAAACAAAACACTAGTCAAAAAGAGAACTCAAGATCCAAATGTCGCTGGGAAGCAGCCCGAGAGAGGAGGGAGAGGGGCGGGAGGGGAGGGCGGGGGTGGGAAGGACCGAACGTGTTAGAACGTGTTTTGCACGTCACCAGCTCCACACGGTGAGTGTGATCATTCTGTGCTGCAGACAGTGTTAACACAGATAAGATAGAAAGAAACTCCAACACCCAGCAGGGGAAGCCGATGCCTCCAAGCCGCACAATAAAGGGTCCTGAAGACCACGCGAAGGTGGCGTTTTGGTCACTTTCTTGCCTCCGGGACAAAATACCCACAACCCACAACTCGGAGGAGGGGAGGTTCGTCTGGGCTGGTGTTTCAGCAGGCTCAGCCCTCGCACAGCCGGCCCGGGGCTGGAGGGCCTGGGCCCAGGACGGCTGCTCCTTCCACCATCCAGGAGGCAGAGAAGGGAGAGGTGCGGGGAGGCGCCCTCAGACCTCACCCCCTGACCCCTCTTCCGGCCAGCCCCCACCCCGTCGTCACACTGAGAGCGAGCACACCACCCTCCCGCCACTTTTCGACAGCCCCGCCTTTGAGCACAGGAGGCTTGGGGCGACCTCCACATGTGAACCCTAATGGCAGGGTGTGCTGCTGCACACCGGTAATCCGAGCTTTTCAGGAGGCTGATGCAGAAGGACCCCAGGGCACAGACCAGCCTGGGCAGTTTAAGAAGACTTTGCCTCAAAATAAAAAATAATAATTTTTTTAAAAGAGCTGAGGGTGTAGCTGTGTGGGTACAGCACTGGTCTTCAGCCCCAGATGTGGAAAAAGAAACACAGAATAAGTGATAGCACACACTGAAAACTAAAATTTGGGTCAGAAAATAAATTGCATAAGCGTAGGGTAGAGGGAGTCTAAGATTAACCTTAGTTTATGTACAAAAAGTTCAAGGGGAGAGGCACTTCTCAGGCGTTTCAGACTTGGAAATGTGTGTGTGTGTGAAATAGGATCTCCCTATGTGGTCCCAGTTGGCCCTGAACTCACTATGTAGCCCGGACTGGCCTCAAATTTGAAATCTTGGGGCTGGGGATTTAGCTCGGCGGCACAGCGCCTGCCTGGCAAGCGCAAGGTCGTGAGTTTGATTCCTGGTACCGGAAAAAAAAAAAAATT